CTTGGTGAAAGTATCTAATCTACTGACACAGAGCATGGATTGACTGCTTTATTGATGAGAGTATCTTATCTAGTGACATAGAGCATGGATTGACTGCTTTCTTGGTGAGAGTATCTAATCTACTGACACAGAGCATGGATTGACTGCTTTCTTGATGAGAGTATCTAATCTACTGACACAGAGCATGGATTGACTGATTTCTTGATGAGAGTATCTTATCTAGTGACATAGAGCATGGATTGACTGCTTTCTTGATGAGAGTATCTTATCTAGTGACATAGAGCATGGATTGACTGCTTTCTTGATGAGAGTATCTTATCTAGTGAAACTGAACCTGGATTGACCACTTTCTTCTTGAGAACATCTATTCTAGTGAGACTGAACATGGATTGACCTTTGTTGGTTAGTGCACGTACCTATTGACCTAGGATAGGAAATTCCTATTTTGTTGATTAGTTTATGTATCCAGAGGCTTAGGACAGGGAATTATTGTTTTATTGGTTAGAGCATGTATCTAGTGATCTAGGACAGGAAATTACTATTTTGGTTAGGGCATCTTTCTAGTGATCTAGAGATGTGGAATTACTGTTGTTGTTGTTTAGAGCATATGTTTTATAACATAGTATAGGGAATTACTGTTTTGCTGGTTACAGCATGTATCTTCTGATCTAGGATAGGTAATTACTGTTGTTTTGGTTATAGCATGTATCTACTGGCCTAGGATATATATATATATATATATATATATATACACACACACACACATTTGTGTGTGTATAGGGAAGTACTGTTTTGATAGAGCATGTATCTAGTGACCAAGTACAGAAGATTACTGTTTTGTTAACTAGTGCATGTATTTAGTGATTTAGTACATGGATTGACTGCCTTTTTTTGTTAGATCATGTATCTAATAAAAAATAATACAGGCCTCACCTACTGATGATTCCATCCTTTAGATGAAACTTGAAAATTTGAGCTGCTTTAATAAGAGAGAAATGAGAAAATATGTGTATGTACAAAGGTTATGTCATTAGAATTATTTATTGATTTAAGGAATTTTGTAATACTTATACAGACTGCATTGCAGACCAATTATTTCCCATATATTTAACCCTTATAAAGTTTCAATTTTAGAAAGATGACTTTTTTAATATATCTAGAGCAATCAAAGAGTGTTGGTCCTTACGTAAGATATATTTTTATAACATCTGTATTATCACATGTGAAAGATATACATCTAGACTGCAAGACAATAGTTGTACACAGAATGGTAGGATAGCGATATGCCTTGTGACACACAAGCTTCACCTTTGAGGGCCTTGCTGCTTTTCTCTTCCTTGGTGGCCATAAGGGATTACAGGAATCACAAAAATATCAGTCAATCAAATTATTCCAAATTTATAACAAAATAAAAGGATAAATTATGAAATCCACATCATTAATGAAATTGTGGAAACTTGCAACAAACATTAATCTGATGTTTATTTTATTACTTAAAAAAACTTAATATTGACAGTTTGACCTCCATGTATAACATTGCCTTCATGAATGTTTGTGTGATAATGTATATCCATTAGCCACATGCTCTACCCTGTTAGAGCAAGCACATTGACAACCAAATAGTAGACTGTTAACAACCTCAAAAATCAAGATCGCTGTGCATTTTGGCCCAAATTGGGAAAATTATTTGAAGCTGTATCAATTGGTTTTCCACTTATTCTGCTGTATCACTTATTATGACTGATTTCTTTGTACCAATGCAATTACACTTGTATATAATGATATATATAATGACTGGTAGATAATGAGATAGGACTTTAATCAAGTTTTGTTTAGAACATCTACTTAATTAGCAGGGACAAGCTTTGCTAATTTGGTTAATGAACTGTCTCAATAGCAAGGATAGGGATTGATAGATTAATTGGTTAAAACTCGTAGAAAACTAGTGCAGTTTTTTAAACCTAATTTATTAAAATTGACAAAGTTTGTCAGGTTGTTTTGTTAGAGCATCTTAGTTGGGACAAGAACTGACTACCGTGTTGACGAGAACACCTACATCCTCAGCAATAACAGTGTTTGATATAGATCAGTTGGTTGGAATATAAACCTAGTTAATCACTAAATAAACTGGCTGCCTTGTCAACTTGAGCATGTAAATTAACAGCATTGAGAAGGATTGGCTATTTGTTGGCTCAGCACTTGTTTGTAAAGACAAGGGTTTAATAGGTCAATTAATTATAGCAGGAATGAGGTCTGATATCTTGATTGTTAGATGACCGATTCTAGAAAGGATTGGTTTGAATAGTACAAGTTAGTAGCTTGTGTACTTAATGAGTTAATAAATTGAATCAAAATGTTTTTACTTTATGTGGATGAGATCAAAGGTCATGAATTTAGAATCCTACAAAAATAGAATTAGTCTGATGGTGAAAAATAATCAATGCAGAAATGTTTCTGGAAAAACAAACGTGGTGTTAGTTTAATGCCAGTGTAAAGTCTTTGCATATGAAGAATTAAGGCAAAACTAATAATATTGTTAATCTTGTAATCATTTTTTCTTAGTATAATTTGTTTTGAATTACATATACAATAATGTGTATTAGTATTATGGGTTCAAATAATTATTTCAGAGATTGTAGATTAATAAAGTTTTAACAAATTTGTTGGATTTTTATTAGCTTCAAATTATTTTGTATTAACAAATTTTGATTTCATAATTATATAAGTACATCTGAATACATTAAATCTAATCTGGAAGGTTGTGCACTTATATTTAGATTTAACTGGTTTGACTTCTAGGGACAGTGCATATCTTAAATAGTTTGAGTAATATCACAACTCATTAGTGATTTTTTATTTATTTTTTTCAAAATGTTAGCATCTCTTTCTTCTAGGTATTAATTATCAGTCAAAAATAAGACTGTTTTCAAATTCAAAAAAGTTTTGTTTTTTGTTCCTATTTTTTTCTCACAGTAAAATGTTTAGTTATCATTGGACATTTGCATTTAGTTTGGATGATAATTTAATATTTGGTTGGTTAATACTTTTGATTAAATGTTATTTCTATGGATTAAAATTCTCATTTTTATATTTTGGTAATTCATGTAGTTAAGATGAAGAGGTTTAGCTACCAACTTACCATGAGGATTAGATATTGCTTTTGCACAAATCTTATTTTGGTTTATTATAGTTCACAAATTAAGTTGACCTTTCTTTTCTTTGTACTGCAGAGCCTAGTAAAGAACAAACACCATCTAGACCTAAACGTCGTCTTCCCACTCCTCCTATTCAGAATTTTGTTCAAAGTGTCAATACTACGAGGTCAGGTTCTCCCTCAAGAATTACTCCGAAACCTATACCTAGTCCACGTCCTAAGCATAAAGGACAGTCCAGCCTTCAACAGTCCTGGCATGGTGAGCTCCCAAGTGGATTTTGTGTGCAAGAATCAAGTACTGGTGAACTTGTGGACAATCGACTGGCCACATCAACAAATGATCTTCAATTCAAACCTTCACCACCAGATAGGAGTGTAAAGAAAGGAAAGAAAATTTCTTCTAAGAGAACAGTGTCTCCTGGAAGGTCTAATGACATTATGACAAAATCAGTAGATGGAGCTCTACATAATCCTGCAGACAAAAGAAAAAGCCCTCGTGCCAAAACTGGAGGGATTCTTTGGAAGAAAATGCCATGGAATTTAACATCATCAGAACAAGATCTAGATCATAGCCGCTCAGAAACAGCCAGCATTGTGTCTGACATCTCCACAAGCACAGAACCAAGTTCTCAAAGTTCTGGAAGGGGTAAAACAGACTCGGGACCACAGATGAAACTTAATAGAGCATTTGCTTTGCGAAGAGCAAGACTAGGCTTAGATTCAGACACACCTTGTGGTGTTTCAAGTGCCAATAGCCGTCCACCCACTGGCACAACTGATGTCAAGAATAGAGCTACTCACCTTAATCCTTCACTACACAGACAAGATGGAGGTCGCTTTAGTCTTAGGCTTCCTCGTAGTTCTCCCCGACCAGGCTGTGCCAAACTTGCAGATTCTAAGAAGCCAGCATTGGGTCGAGTTAGTTCTCCAAAGGTGAGCTCAGTATAACGCAATATTTGTATATTCTTGTATAATATTTTAATACATGTTTAAGCATTATTTATTCTGGTATTACATGAGACTTTTATGTTAGGATTTTATTTGCTAATTTGAGACTGCCTGATCTGACCTTTGTTATACATTATGATTACTTTTTATTATTAACTCATAGCTTTAATTTTGTGTGATATACTTTTTCAACTGACTACTTATTGTAATATGATTTCTTTTTAGTATTACATCACAGTTGATGAGTCATTTTACTCCTTTTGTAAATTTGTTGTGATGTATATTATCCCCTTTAATATTTTGCATTGTCTAACAATTGCTATTAAGTATTATGTTATATTACATAAGCCTTCTCTATACTTTCACAAATTTTAATATTCCTATAACTATAGAAAGACTATTGTTTTAGATATTTTAAAGTATATTTCAAACAATTTTTTAATAGTTAGGTATTTATCGAAAATCATTACAGTTTTATTATTTAAATGCTGAACTTGTAATTGATAACAATTATTCTTAATGTTTACAAAACTAAACATTTGCTCTGTTGACATTAATAACATGAAGATAATAAACTAAATACAAAAGTAATTATTTTACAAGATAACCACTTCAATTTTTTAAAATAAAGATCTTAATTCAAAGTATATCTAGTAACTTGCATTATTTATTGACATAAACATTAAACCATTAAAAATTTGAACATCATCCAACAAGCTTTTAACAACCATAATCATGACTTGCAATAACTTTAAAACAAACAAACAAAAAATTTTATATGAAGTAAACAAGCTGTCTTTGAGAACACAAATTTGATTTTACTTGTTCTTGGATAATAGCATGATTATTCATCATCATCTTCTTGGTATTCCCATTTTCAACTACCTGGCTAGCTTTTCCTCAGTTGTCTAAGACTGCTTCTTACCATCCTCTATGAACATTGCAATCTCATCAGATGCACACCTTCCATGAACGTGGAATTGTTCCCAGAAGATCAAAATCCAACCACATCAAAGGTTGTTACACAAACCTAGGTTTCAGGTATAAGATCTGAATCTTGCATTAGTAGGACATTGCACAAGTGGACTTCATTATCAATATTAGTTAGTATTCTTACACTAAGTACTATTGATAATGAAGTCCCCATGTTGCATTTGTCACATTTGGACAGCACTTTGAACACAGCTATTGATTTTCTGCCACTGTTTTATTTGGATGTTTATATCATCTGCATTTATGTCCATAATCAGTGTTTTTTCTGACTTTTTTGTCCATGTATTCTAAATCACACATGCCAAAACATATTTGTGCTGTCTTTCATGAGTTGTGTTCCAGTACTTAACTACCATTTGTTTCCACAAAATGAGTACAGACATTCCATTTTGTGGAGTTAAACATTTTACATACACAACTCCATGATGTTTCATCTTGAACCTGATAAATGGCAAAATTAGATGGCCTTGTACCATATATTGGCCAGAATTTATGCTTTGTCACATAACCTATAATACAGTATGCTGGTGATTCATTTATTTGTTAATACATATGTGATTTTTGCTAATTTTGTTGCAATTCAACTGAAAGGGTGTTGAATATATTGTTCACTAAGTTTAAGAAATGACTGGTTTTGACTGTACACACCTGTGCAAAGCACCTGCATATTGATCATGAAATTATTGAATATTATTTTTAAGTTTATCTCCTTTAAACAAGTCACATAAGTATAGGAGTTTGTAATTTATTAAGACAAAATACATAAATTAATTTCAATCAAGAACATTATTAGCAAAAAATATTATTACTTAGTTTGACCTTACACAATTTTAAAAGGTCAGGTCAACAATATACCTATGTTAATTTCTGTGTATTTTCTTCAATTTATAGCCAGAAGTGGCTACTACTTCAGCTATTAAGATAAGGTATCAAGAGAAATATTTTAATGAATATCAAGTCAAGTTGAAACTGATTGGATATATAAAATGGAGCTTTTTGAAAAACATTTAAAAAAATTTTAATTCTAAAATGAAAGAAAGAATGTTAAATATTTTTTCAAACCAATGTACCACAGAAAATAGTTTAATACTTTCACAACATAAAAAATTATAAAGATTAAAGCAAATTACATGAATTTTTTAAAACTGAAACTATATAATCTTTGATGTATTTAGGTAATTCTAAGTTTCATTCAATTTGGTCAAGTATTTTCACTGTCAGTAAGAAAACGTCAGGGAATTTTAGTGATAACTTTTGGTCTGGAAAGGATCAAGATGCATCCCATGGATGCAGAGCCTTTTTGTTTTTTCCTGTACAATTGGTTTATTTTGCTTCTAGAATGAAAAATTTTCCATTAACATGACCATTGAGTAATGTTGTTATGGAGTGATTTTGGTAATTGTTGGTTTAAAATGCTTCATTTGTTATTGTCTTCACCTTGGGTGTATGATGCATATTGATAAAGATTTTGAAGGATATGACTGTGGATGACCTCAGTGATATTGTCATAGAATAGGCCCACAAGACCTCATTCCACATGACTAACAATTATTTTCCTCTACCTCTTCATTTCTAACTTTTCTGCCTGTCATTGGATTTCTGAACAGCTGGTGTATTTATAGTACAGAGAATTGACAAACATTTAACCTTAAAACATGTTTGTTCTACTGTGTATAGACTTTTTAACTCTTGAATCTAACTTCCACACCATCTTTGTTTATTTTATATTTTGATAGTTTGAAGTAGCTCTAGGTACAGCTAGGTCAAAATGTGCATGTCATAACCTTTTTTATGTTGAAAACTTGTTAAACAAATTTATTATCAGTTAGTTAACACTGGATATGGGTGGAGTGGTCAAAATGTGCATGCCTTGGATTTGTTTTTTACAGAATTACATTAAAAAGTTAAATTAAACTTCTTTATTAGCAGTTTATGTCATTAAACTTGATATTAAAATATAGTTTATTATTCAAATTTTTATATCTGAGTTTTAATTTCCTAATTTCTAAAGGAACTATTTAAATAAATTCGCATTCTTCAATTCCTTGTGTCAAGTGACCCTTTGCTCTCTGAATTCTCCTTTTTAGGTTTTCTTTCTTCCCTTATACGGGCTTCAGAGTGACCACCAATTATAATCACAAACTACAGATATTGAAAGACCAGAATATAAAATAAGAACCTCCCATCTGTATTTTCTGAGGTATCAATGAATTTATCACACCCACCACAGAAGCTCCTCCTAACTCTTCATGCTTGTAAATCGTTTAGTTGCTCTTGCCTACTTGTCAGTAGTACATGACTCTGATGATATTCATTTTTATTTTCACAATGAAAGCTGCTATTTCACAAGTAGGTCTTTATGTATGGGTAGGCTGAAGTCAGTGCTCTGAAGAGTAATGAAAGTTTTTTAACCTATTTATTGCTTGGTTAGAAAGTCAAATACATTACAGTAATTTTGGAGCTTTCTGTTTTGAATACCTGATGTAGTTTTTCTGTTCTAATATGTATATTTTAAAGCTACATGAATTACTTTTTGGACAACAAACATAGTTAGAAAAAAAGGCTTACAAAAGCAGGTACTCGTTATGCAAACTGGTATAGGACTAAGGTAAGTGTTAAATGTGTTGTTTTACGTATATGTTTTATGTATATTTTTCATTTATTGTTATATATATTTAACAAAAGTAACTCAAATGTAACAATTCAAAAATTATTAGGTTATACAAGAAATTTAAATGAAAAATTTTTACTACAGATTATTCTACTACAGGTAGATAAAATACAAAGTTTTTTCAGAAAAAAACTTTTGATAATCATTTAGGAGGCTCTAGAGGATATGTAAATGAAATATGAAGACTGTAAGGTGAAAAGTATCTTTATTCTTAACATAAAAATCACTTTCGCTTGAATTGGCTCAGTAAAGGCTTCATATGTTCACAGACAGATCATAAGTAAAAATACTTTTATAAAGTCTGATTTTCTGTGTGCAGCAGACTTGTAATGTTTACTGCAGATTTACCAAACTGTATGAAGATACACTTTGTATATGGCCAGCACAAGGTCAGTCAGAATGACTGAGCCCATGCACAGATATTTAGTAAATTTAACTTTAAAATTATGTTTATAATTATCCAAGTTTTGATTTCTTAATCTCAAAACAAAATTTTTAAGTAATTTCTCAATCTACACCTCTCTGAGCCATATGACATGATGTTGTTATGACTTCTCACTTTTAGGCTTTTCTTTTCCATTATTAGGGCTTCAGATTGTTCAACCAGTTAGAAACAGATGCTATAGATATTTAGAAACCAGAATATAAAATTTGTGCTCTTCTTGATTTACTGAGATATCGCTGTATTTGTTCCACCCATGTCTGATAGTTTTCTATGAGAGCTTGATGTGTTTGGACTAAAGACATTGCTTTGAGCAGTAATGGAACTTTTTAGTCTATTTATAGGTTAGTTAGAAAGCCAAAATAAACAGTAGTAGTTTTAAAACATTATATTCTAGTGTCTTATCTACTTTTTATGTTCTAAAATGCATATTTGAAAGTTACATGAGTTATTTTTGAACAGCCAACATAGCAAAAACAAATTGGCTTGATAAACTACACACCCATGTACAAAAGGCCTTAAGACTAAAGTAAGTGCTAAATTCCTTAGTTTTTATGTATTTTTTTAACCAAGTAACTAAACATGTATAACACACTTGTAATGTGGAATAAAAGTTTGCCAATTTTTTCATTAAAGTTAATATTAGGATAGAGAAAATTAAGAAATAAAATATAAAGTTTTATCAGAAAAAATTTATATTCATTTAGGGTGATCTATTGGCTATTCAAAGGAAATATGAAACTGTAAGATGAAAAGAAGGATTTTTATTCTTAACATGAAATCACCTTTCATTATGACTCATTAAAGGCTTTATAAATTCACAGACAAATCTTTAGTAAAAATACTTTATTAAAATTTATATTTTTGTGTACATGTATAAAAAACTTGTGATGTGTACTAAAAGCTTTCCAATTTTTGTGAAGAGACACTTAGTAAATTCAAAGTTATAGTTTATATAGTTTCATGATTACATAGTGGTTACAGGGTCAGTCAAAATGCCAAGCCTAAAGAGAAAGTTAAGTAAGAAATGGGTATTACTGTTAAGAAAAAAAAAAACAACTGATAAAGGAGAGCATAACATATTAGCTAGATAATACATTTTTAGTTTTTTTTATAAGTATTTATACTGTGTAAGTGCACATGTCTACTTTTTTTCTGTTACATTATTTATAAGTGTCATGGTTCTCTCTTTCTTTCTGCTGCACCAAGTCCCAGCAAAAATCAAAGAAAAAACAGGTAGGTTATGATATGTGTGTTTATGCCTTTGCTTTATTTTCCTCTTTATATCTAATAACCTAACATAATTTGCAGATTTAAGTTTTGTTAGTTGTACATTGTATGGTTTGCTATTAGTACTCAAACTAGTCTGCTTGTAGATTAGGGAAAAACAACAAATGCATGAAATGTGGAGCTAACAGGTTGTTTTGAAACATTTGGGGATGTAGAGAAGGGTTTTTTTGGGGGTAAAATGGTTTGCATAGAGCTTCAAAAAAACATTATAATTCAGCTCTAGAATTTTGTTTAAAAGCCACAGAAAAATTATATAAACTTTAAAATTTGTTTTCATTGTCTAATTTTTTCTGTATTTTACCCTCTATAATACATGTCATAAAACATTTCATGTCCAAATAGGCTACCATATTGACTGACACAGCCTTTATTCTGCTGCTGACATTTCACTGTCTACTGAAAGAACTCACCAAGAGAATATAGTAAAAGTTAATAACATTACAATAAAACTTTCATTATTGCTAGAATATCTAAAGGAATTATTTTGAAAATACTTTCTATTATGGGCTGTATTAAATACTTACATAGAAGTGCTCATGTGAATGAACATTACTTTGTTTTTTGCTTAACGCTGTGATATATTCAAAGAACTCAGGCCACCAAGTGTACTGGAATAAATCAAGCATCGATTCTTTCTCAGCTCATTGCTGATCCATAGCTTTCAGATTGACCACCCCTGATGCAAGCCATATAGTCTGCTTATTCCACTGATTCTTCATGGCAAAACACTAGAAATAACCATAATGTTTCCTTCTCCTCCTTTTGAGACAGTAGCAAAGTGCCATTTTCAAGATTCATGCTACAAGGATAATAAATTTAAAGAGAGGTTGACACAAGGTGAAAATTGTGAAATGAGCATAGTAAGTTTGGACCAATTAAACAAGATTCATATTCTATGTTTGTGATGACTTTTTTGTCTAACTTATATCTCAGATGCTACTTATGCTGCCAAAAATAATACACTAAAATAGTCTTGTAGGCTAATATTAATCTTGAACTTGTGACTTGATTTTTGTGAATCTTGTATATGTTAAGCTAGAGTTCTAATGTTATTCTTGTGTCTCATACAGTCTTTTCATATTTGTTGTTGCCTTTATTATAAAAACAGGTTATTAACCAAGTGACTTACACCCATTGAATGTAGCATGTTCTTGTTAGTTTTTCATATTAAATAAGTAACACTGTGTTCCTTCTGCTCAATCTGTGAAGCATATTTTTAGATCTGCTGTGTTAAAAAGTGAGCCAATATGACTCTTGTATGATGATATTAAAAATATAAATAGCATTGCGTCCTAGTATATATAATGGTTTTTTTATTATAACATTAACTTGGTGAATAAACTATAGTGAAAATATTTTAATACATAATACTAATGTGCATGATTTAATGTTGAACATGAAGCTGACATGTTCTTGTATATCTGAGCAGAAATCTATGTTTCTAAATAAAAATGTAATTTTTTTAGCCTATTCAGAAAAATTAAGTTTCAGTTGATAATGATCTAGTTTACATTGTAATAATTAAATGTGTAACTCTATATTAATAATCTGTATTTGTTTACTGCCATGTGTGATGTTATGATGTTTAAATGTGGTTACAGAATGATAAATATATTTTAGTAATTTTACAAATACATTTGTTGGACTTTAATGGAAGAAACTGAAAGAGAAACATATCGTTATATTGAAATGTTCAGTATTTTACAACTCGTAGAACTTTTTTTTTATCAAGAAATAATTTAGTAAGAAAAAATAATTTGCTTTAGCCTTCAGATTATAAAGGTCACAAGCGAAATGACAGTGATCCTGGAAAACCTAGAATCTCAGCCAGAAAAACTAGCTTTACAGTCACAGTGTCTGATACTGAAGCCCGATCAGGTACACCAAACTCACAGAATTCATCCTTCGATGGGGATAATCTTCAGTTCTTCCACAGATCGGCATCATTTAGTGGGGCAGATGATTTGTTAGCAGAACACCGTCCTTTCAGAGGCATTCCTATCAGTTTGTCACATCGAGACTTTACAGGAAGATCACATTTAAGAAGCCAGTCATTCCGTAACAGCCAACTAGCAAAAACTAAGCAAGGGAATTACAGCAAGAAAGAAGAGGTAAGCATTGATGGCAGTACTGTATATGTATCCTTCAATTAATATTAATTTAAGGGTCAGCTGTTGTGTTTATCTTCATGTACATACAAATAAGAACTTATCATTTAAGTTTTTTGTTGTTGTTCTTAAATCTCCAGGTGTATAAATGTAAAACCTGAGTTTTTCATTTAGTTTTTTATTATTATCATCAAATTTATAAGGCTTAGACTCTACAACATAAACCTTTAGTTTGTAGATTTGGAAGAATGTAAATAGTTTCTTTTTAGTTGTACGGGATCTTGGACATCTGATAGGTTACATTGTTTGCTCTCTGACACTTGATTTCTATCTTTCTACCTAATTTGCCATCTTCACTGAAAGGGCTTCTACGATACTTGAACTCCTTACTTTGCTTCTGTTGAGTCTGTCCAATCTGTAAGTGCACTTGATGTTCTATCAGCACATTTGTCACTCTTATACAAAGCTTTTATGTCGTCCAGTTAGTTTCCCTTTACATAGTCTTCCAGTATTGTCTGTGGTGCAACTCTGTTGACTTGATCAAACTTTTTTTTATCAGTAAAACACTAAATTCAGTTTTTATTGTGTTCTATTGTCTTTTCTTTCAGTGTCATAGTGGGGATCTGGATATTTTGTTATGAACATTTAGTTACTGGACATTTCATTACCACAATGTTGTTACTAGGACAACTTGTGACAGGTGCATTCTTGTTGCATCATTTTTGTGACATGGCAGTTTTTGTTATGAATACTGATCTTGTGGCGTGTAGTTTTTTAAGTAAATTGATATTCATTTGGTGACCATTCAAAAATTATGTAATGCTATGAGGATGAGAAAGTGTCTAGGTCTGTATTACGATGCATTACACGGGGGTAGGGGTGTCATGTACAGTGTTACATAAAACATAAATTACAGTGAAAATGATTTAGGTCTATAAAAACATTCATTGTACTTTATCATACTTTGATTTGAATTCAAAACACCTTTAATAACTTGAATGTTTGCAAACTTAATAAATGTATCATTTTTGCATGATAACTTGTTTACTCAGATTTAACATATACTGAGTACTTGGCCACCAAAAAGAAATACTTGTAATGTCTTTTGGAAAGAAAACATGTTACTTCTTAATAAATCTAGTAACAAAATTTGCTATTCACAAAAAATGCTTGGGATGAAACCTTTCGTAATGATGTGACTGACAGTAACTTGGATGCTGTAACGGAATGTTTTTTGTAACAAAATGTCCATATCACAAGCTGTCCAAAACTAGTCGTGTGAATATGGCATCAGTGCAACTTTTGCATTTGCAAAATCCCATCTGTGCATTATTCAACTGTTTTTGAACACTCTTTTTTTTATAGGTTTTTTCAAGCATCTTTCACACATAGCTTAGTGGAGAGATCCATCTATACTTATTACAGTCTATTTTACTTCTTTTTTTTCCATATGGGTATAATGATTGCTGTTTGTCAGCCTTCTGCTACTTTTGTTATCATACCATGCAATGTTAAAAATGTTTGTGAGCCATAATATGCCAACTTCTTCGCATGCTTTTATAGCTTTTGTACTTAATCCATCAATACCTCCTGGTTTGTTTCAATGACTTGATTTTATTGCTTATTTAACTTCTTATGATATTAGGCTCTTCATGCTCTACATAACTTGGAATAAGCTGCTTTATTTCTTGAAAGGTTTTTTGCTGTGAAGACTTAAAAATTGTTTGAAGTAATCTTTCCATCTTGCTCTAATCACCAAACTTCTTCCATGACATTTTTTTGCTTCTTTTTCTCTTTTATGGCTTCTTTTACCTTTTTTGTTCCCCCATATTATCTTTTTTTTTCTTTATACCTTCCTCCTGTTTTCCTTGTCCTACAACATTGTTATTATTGATGTAAAGTCTTCTCTGAATCTTTATCAATCGATATCAGTGCTGCATGTCCCTTCAGAAATTTTCTTAAATTTCTTCTTCATCTGTTTTTCAATCTATTCCTTACTTCCTCTTCATTAAGGTTTCTGAAGTTGACAATCTCTACTGGTGATGTAATTTTCTTTTCCTGCATCCTCCTGTCTTCTAGTCCTGTACTACAGGTGTGTGATTGGTATCTGTGTGTATGTTTGAAATAACTTTTGTGTCAGTGATGCTTTTTCTCATGGTCAGTCTAACGAAGATGTTGTCTAGTTGTGATACTGTTGTACAAAGTAACTATTGGACTCTGCCAATGTTGGAAAGATGTGTTTATAATAATAATAAAAAAAGCCATTATCGTGTGCACAGCTCCAGGAACAGTATTCCATTATAGTTCCATTCAGCTTCACTGTCTACAAAGGGTCCTACATGTTTCTCCCATGATGAATTTGTTATAAATTTCCAACTAAAATCTCCCTTGCCAATTACTTCATCTTTCTCCTTAATTTCATTTAACATGTCTGCCAGACTGTCAAATAATTCTTTTTTCCTTTTACATTACATGGTTTATATAACTGTTTATACATCCTCAGTTCATTTTTTATTCTTATATTGAGCTCCTGATATATATTCTTCTTCTACAACATACTTTACTATGACCAGATATAACAGGAGACCTACTTCATGTTTTACTCTGTTCTCTTGGTCAACTGCTGTCCACATAAGAATGTAATATCCATGTGTCCTCTTAATACCTGATATCTTTTTTGTCCACAAATGTTCCAAGTTGCCATTCTAATCCTTGTATGAATTGATCATCCTTTAATATTTCCATTCCATATTCCATTTAAGTCAATCTGTTTACATCCATTTGTTTTCCTTTGAACATTCAGAAATCCACTGCTGGTTTGCTGGGCCTGTTGCAGCTTCATCACAGTCACATTAGCCAGGATGTTTTGGGGTGACCCAGGCCAATTTTCAATGTTACCATAGTGGTCTTGTGGGATATTCCTCACCATAATTCACCAATATCCAATAATCTGCTACTTTGTCCTGTTTCCAACTCCCATGATGATGGATAAGGGATTTGACTTTGGGAGATATTAGGTTGTCAAGAAATTAATGTTGCTTTTTAAGGTGAAAAAACCCGAACAACTTATATATCAAACAAAACATATATTAAATGCAGTAGTGTCCATTCTTATCGATGATGCTTTTCCATCTTACAGTCAGGTTGTTAATGCCCTAATTAAAGAAATCACCTGGCTATGAAGCAAAAAACATGTCAGTGTCCTCTTTAACAACTTCCACATTTGCATACATTTTCCCATTGAGATAGTGTTGCAGCAAACAAAAAAGATGGCAATCTGATGGTGCCATATCTGGAGAATATGGTGGGTGGGGGGAGAACTTCCCAACCCAACTCCATAATCTTGTGTTGCTTCACACGTGCCACATATGGACGTGCATTCTCGTGCAGAAGAACAACACCTTTCCAATTGACGAGTGAAGGGCATTTCTGATGAAGGGCTTGATTTAAACATTCCAGTTGCTGACTACAGATCTCTGCATTGCCAGTTCTCTGTGGATTGAGGAGTTTGAAATGAATTACTTCATTTATGTCTCACCAAATGCAAAGCATCACTTTCTACAGATGGAGTCTAGGTTTTGGGGTTGGAAGTGATTTTTGTCTAG